TGTGGATGGTTCTGATTTTGATTGTTTGGCAGTACTTGTTTGATAAGAAGATTGCGAAGGAAACCAATAGTAATGCTGTTAGACTTGTTACTGAGGTTTTAGTTTGTGTTGTGGTGGGTCTGATGTTTTGGCTTGTGAAGACACTATTGGTGACAGTTCTTACATCTTCTTTTTATAAGAGCAAATACTTTGATAAAATCCAAGAGTCTTTATTTAATCAGTATGTGATTGAGGCACTTTCAAAACCACCTAAAATCCAAAAAATGGAGGAAGAAGGGAAAGGAATTGAAGGGAGTGGAAAAATGAGGAAAAGTCCACAAGACAAAACCAGTACACTTTTTTGCTTGGCTTCTAGGAAGGGACATAAAGAAAGTTTGGACATAAGCATTGATGAGCTTCACCAAATGAATCCCAACAATGTTTCTGCTTGGAATATGAAGAGGCTAATGAATATAATTCAGCATGGTCGACTTTCTACCTTGGACAAGCAAATAAAAGATAGCAAGTCAACTGAAATTAAAACTGAAAACGAGGCGAAAAACACAGCAAAAAGGATATTTGAAAATGTTTCTAAGCCTAGATCTGGGTATGTTTTTTATCTGTTCTCTTACACTTGTATCCAAAATATATTTTGTGAATGTCTATTGCATAACTAACGAGTGGTATGGTCAAAGTTGCCTTGAGGTCTATTTATATTTTATTCATAGAGGTGGTTCTCTATGTTTATTGTAATCTTAACTGTTTTTTTCTTTTGAAAGGCTTGTGATATAACTGTTTTATTAGGCACATTGACTTAGAGGACATCAAGAGATTCATGGGAGAATATAAGGCCCAGAAGACTATGAGTCTCTTTGAAAAAGGATCTGAAAGCAAGGGAATTAGCAAATCAGCAATAGAGAATTGGGTGGTAAGAATATGGCAATATGAGCCACTAAGTTTGTTTCACTTAATACTTTTATTATGTCATGATAAATGTTTGTGCTTTAACGTCTTTAAATGTCTTAGGTTAAGGCTTTCGAAGAATGGAGGGCTCTTTCCTGGACACTAAATGATATTGAGACAGTTGTTGAAACACTTCACTGGGTGGTAAATGTCTTTGTCATTATCATCATAGTTGTCGTAAGTCTCCTTATACTAGGAATAATAACCGAGAAAGTCCTTCTCATGGTTGGCGCCCAAGTTCTTTTGCTTGCTTTCAAATTTGGAGACACTTTGTTCTTCATATTTATAACACATCCATATGATGTTGGTGACCGTTGTCAAATTGATGACAATCAAGTAAGTTGATAATCATATGAACTATGTCCTCATCTAGTCTTCTTTGGTCTTTATGGTCTTACAATATTATGTTTCTCGTATGTTTGTGGCCTAAATTGAATGCAATGGATTTAAGATGGTAGTGGAAGAGATTGGCATCTTGAACACTATTTTCTTGGGACATCACAACGAGAAGATCATAATCCCAAATAGTGCCCTTGCTAGTAAAACCATCCATAACTTTTATTTAAGCCCTGACATGGGAGATGAAATTGAGTTTTGTGTTCCCATAGCTACTCCAGAGGAAAAGATTAAATTGATGAAACAAAAGATACTAAGGTAAGTTTGCCTACTTTCTTTTGCTTGCTTGCATGTGGGTTTGTGGGCACTCGTGCAGGTAATTTAAATAAATGGCTTTGATCTTAATATGATTGCTTTGATGTATCTGTCGGCATATGCAGAGTCCTTATGCGTACATAACACTAAAATTGATTATTTTCTCATAATTCAGTTCAATAAAGAATAATAAAAAAACATTGCTATCGGGAGACAAATATGGTTCGGAAGGAAATTGAAGGCTTGGATGAGCTGAGGTTTAAAGTCTCTTTCAAACACAAAATGAACTATCAAAACATAGAAGAAAGGGAGAATAGGAAATCACACGTACTGCGTGAGATTACTAACATTTTAAGGGAATTGGAAATAATTAAGTTGCCTTAGGAATTTAGTGGTTTTTGTATATAATTATAGTTTACATTTCAAATTTAGTTTTGTATTCAGTATGACTATTAATTTCGCAAGCATACGATTATTAGTTATTCATTTGTTCTTCCTTCGATTGTTGCAATTTCTCACTAGTTTGATTGCCATTCGGTTCTTAAAACCATGTTTGATTTCATTATCATCTTTAAGGATTTAATTTCAGTTCTTTTTCTTTTATTAGCATAAATTTCATTTGGTTAAATGTCAAGTTTAAGAGAATTTCATTTTACTGCAGAGAAATTTTAAAGGCTATTAGAGAAATGCTTCTTCCTTTCAATGTGATTATTTTCTGGAATTGAGCTTAAATATTGCCTGTGTTGGTTAGGGAAGAGATTATAGTAGTATATACCATCAAAGGAACTTTTATATGCCCATGTATTATTGTATTGATGAAAGACTAGTTAGGGGCTTCTTTTGTCTATTAACTTGGTATCAATTTTATCTCTTACATACTGTAAAGTTAGTTGTAAATTTGCTTCTACTACTCCCTTATTATGTCTCTTTTAACATGTTCATGTAAAATTAGTATCACAAGCAAAAAGATGCTTCTTCTGATATAGAATTTCACAACGTTTTACACGAAGAAGATAAAAGCCTGCCTCAATTGCAGAATAAAAAAAGATATACAATTGACTGGAATATATTTTAGATAAAAGGCAAGCTCTTTCCATTGCATAAAAAGCATTCTACGTCTCTCAGGCACACCTAGGGAAATTTCTCTTTATAGTTTGGCAAAACTTTGAATTAAAATTTGTGTATTTACAATCTTGGAAACACTATTTACATTCTATACTTTTTCCAGCATCACCAACAAGCTCCTTGCTCTCCAAATGCCATATAAGGTAGCAGCAATCCTGATTTTACACTTCCACTTCCATGGCCTCTTTTACAAATTTTCAAAATCACATCCATCTATTCGTTTCAACTGAAGAGTACAGAACTCAAATGTATAATTGACTGGAATTAGTATCAAAATCACACATGAAGAGTGCCAACTTCCCTCCATTTCAAAAACTCATCCTTCTGTGTTTTTTCTTTGGTCTTCATCATGAAGGCTAATGAAGGTTGTTCAAAGCCTATGAAAAACTAAATCACGGAATTGAAACTTACAAAATGCACCTACTCTTGAAAGTAAAAAATCAAACCATAAAGGTCATGAAAGCACTCACCCTACAGGAGTCAACCTTTCTAAGAGTTAATGAAAACAACATGAAGCAGCAAAGTTTTGGACAATTCATATATATTTAAGTTTGCAAATAATAATGAACAACCAATTTGCTAAGAACTAAGAAGTAATGAAATGTCAACAACATGCCCATTAGATATATGACTAGCTTGAATATAAACTCGACCACAACATTAAATAAATAGGTCTAGAAAAGCAAAAGAATTACCTCCAAGAAAACATTATTGAATGACAAAACTTCCCTCACTTAAATTAAAAAAAAAAAAAAAGAAGAGAAAGAGTGAAGAAAATTTACATTCCAAATAAGTCTGACACAACCTCTTTTTTTTCTCTTTTTTTGCTAAGAACATAACTTGCTCACACTAAATAACTGATCCCATCAAGGCAATAAGAGCTCAAGGTACTAAATATTCAGCAAAGCTCCTCCTGGTCCTCCTTATTCCTTCATGACCTGATCATCTCATCATGCAGAAAGTATGTCAACCTTAATCTCAGTAAAATACCAACCCAGATTACATATCATGCCCTCCTCAGTGACTTGTAATACCCAAGCCAGGCATGTTGTTTGAATAAATCCAAAAATGAGTTAGGAAGCACAGAAAGTAAACCCCACCATGCATAACATCTCATTAAAAGTCTATAGGCAGCTGCACAATTAAGGAATAAATGGCCTGATTCTTCTAAAGTTAATTCACA